ATTGAGACAATTGTCCCCCACCATGAGAGGACGAACGCCAAATCCTCTTCTTACGCGAGTTCTCCGACTTTGAATCAACAGCAAAATCACACGAGCCGCTATGTCGCTGTTGGGCGATGGCGCATGCAGTGACCACTTTCGAGCCACCCTCCTGAGAAAGAGTTGACACCCAGACCTGGCAATTCAATAGGCTACTCTCAAAACAGTCTTTTCCCAAAACAAGCCACATGGATGTTTCCTGTTACACTTCTTCACTACAAACCCCCCATGCCCCTTGTAATCAATGTTACTATGGTTGCTGTTTTACATCTCCAGTACAACACCCCATACCCCCTTGTCATCAATGTTACTGTTACAGATGTTCTGAAACAAAGCGGCCACCCCCAAAACACGCCTTCAACATTGCTTTCATGGGGGGTGCGGGGGACGTCAGTGTTCAATCACGGAGCTTGGTACTTGAGAAAGAGACAGCTTCAAAACTTGTGACTGGAGGTGGGCTTGAGAATTTGTAATTGGCTGAGTCTCCGTGAAAATTATAAGTAGCCGGAGGCATCCGCAAGTGTACGGAAGAGAAGGAAGAAAGGAAACATATTGCAGGCGGCTGTCAATTCGCACCAGGTCACACCACATGATTCTTATGACAATTAAAGCCAGTCTCTTTTCCCTTTTCCAGCAACCCGAACAGAAGAAGGAGCAATTGAAACCGGGAATGGGATTCCATGGGGTCTGCGATTGGTGTTCTATATTGTTTCGGAAGAACAAGCATATGTTATGCTACAATCGGGTGCATCGGCGGCCTAGAAAACAAGTCCGCGTTCGCAGGCCTTTTGAGGCTTCAGACTCTCGGGCCCCGGTTGGAAAACATGTATATGCTTGCTGTACAGAGTGCGCTGACAGCTTCAGTCCACACTTCACTATCATGGGAGCCCAACAACAGATTACAGAATACACGCATGGCTTCCATATTAGTGCTGCAAGAGTGTCAGGGGGGAGGCATCTCTGGCGGTTTCCATGTTAGTTTTGCTGACATATTTTTCGGTTTCCCTAACATGAAAGGTGGCTGGCTATGTGCCTTTGGAGTTCCCGGTGTGAAGGCCCTTGTGGGATCTCCACTTCCACATATGTGCGGGAGTGTAACGATCAAGTCCATGAAAACAAAACTCTTTTGGCGAAGCATGTTAGTTGCTTATGCGAAGTGCTTGGGTCTGACACCAATTCATTCGGATGACCTGAGCATACCTGAGCACCGAGCCCGGGCTCGCCCGATCGTGGTCCGGGGTGTGATCGGTACCACTCAGGATCGCCTACACTTGGGTGAGCCGCTCTGGATGCAAGACGATGCGTTCGCGACGAATCGTTTTGTCAGACAGGGCACGACCGGAAAGCACCAAGAAACATGGAGTAGATTGGAGTAGCTGGTTCAGTTTGTGACCGGACTTCATCCGGGCGGACGAGGTCGTCAAAGAGGGTCACGTAGAGACTTCAAAGAGGTCACGTAGATGAAATGGGGTTAATAGACCAGACGCGATGGCCGAGGGCTTAGCGATCATGGCCCCATCGCTTGGCAAAGCGATGGTCGCCGCCACCCATCGCTTGGCCTTGCCTCCCAGGCAAACGATGGGTTTTGCCAGCTCCCTACTGGATGCAGACGGTTGACTATGTGGATCAGGGCTTCACCGCCGAGATCTATTTGACTTTCAGCTGCAGCGAGAAGGCCCAAAAGGCATCAAAAGGCTCGAGCCTGGCCCGTGTCATGTGCTCACAACCCAGAAGAATATCATGTACGTGGCATGCGGCATGCACGTTATATCACGTTCTATTGTTTTTCAATCACTTGGCCAGTCGAACATCATCCATCCCATCGTCTTGCGTTAGCTATAGGGGTTCCATGCCTTGACCGGGCGCTGTTCTGAATGGCGCGTGGAACGTCTCAGCTTCTTCCGGTGGAGAAAGGCAGCCGGTGGGGCTGAACACGAACAAGTCTGGCGTGCTGAACACGTTTTGATTCGGTCGCGGCATTGAAAGGCTTTCCAGGCTCAAGCTGTTGCGATCCTCGACCATCCAACATCCCTCGACTTGCTATGGCATCCATGAAGGCTGTGGCATTGCTGGCTTTTGGGCTGTGCAAGGGGGAGACAGATGTCACCAAGGCAGGAAGCCGACTTCGGTTGGTTTCAGCTGGTAGTGCGAGAGGCATAGCAAAGGGGGGTTCACAAAGCATTTATATATAGAAAGGATGGGAAGTTACTGCTCAGAGTAGATGGTGCAAAGCAAGATTGATCACTCTTAGAGATGAGATCAACAAATATGGACAACAGCCGGGGTGCCATGTGCGTCGTTACGCCTTGATTCATTTCCAGAATCAGCGGACCTGGGGGCTGGGCGATGAGATTCAGATTGCTTCCCCAGGTGGCCAGGTAGTAACATCCTTTGCTTGGAGCTTAGAATGTCTTAGACGTAAGACTTAGAGGCCTGATCCGTGACATCCTTGGCTTGGGCCAGGCATTTGAAGATTTCATCACCAAATTTGAGAAGAACTACGCCACCGCGGACGATCGCATGCAGCGCTTCGACATCTTCGCCAAGAACTTGCAGCGCATTGTGACCTGGCAACAAGCCTAGTAGCGTCCTTCCTCCTAGTAGCGATGCTAGGAGCCCCTAGTAGCGTCCTCTACCCACAAGTCTTCTAAGTCCCCTAAAGCCTGGCAAAGAGAAATAGAGAGAGTGAGAGAGCTCCATGGTGCTTCCAGCCGCCCAACAGCGCCGAACCAAGGAAGGATCCCACACAAACCAGTCCTCCAATCTCTTGTTGTTGTTCTTGTCTGTCCACGTATGCATCAAAAAACTTTGAATTGTTCAACTTCCTGGTGTCCCAGTGGCACCCCACGTCAAAGCTCAGAAAGAGCAATCATGGCTTTAAGCTTTGGTCCATGGGGATTGGAAGATCTGCAGTCATGCCCCGGAGCGCAGTGTTCGGACTGGCGTTCCGAATGGTTCATGTATGGAAGAATGAACATACATAGAGCATCAAGCATACAAGATCAATCGTGACACGGGAGATCTTTTCATACATTCATAACATAACGTCCATAACCTCCCCCCAAACCACCCCCTAACAACATTACCAAATAAAAAATAAAATATAAACGTTATTGCCATGTGATCTATTATGTGTAGTTATATAATATTGATTTAACTTGCTATCATTTGTAGTAGAGTTCTCCTGAATTCTCCTCTACCCACATGGCCGAGCAGCTGATACCTGGATCTTCCCTCCTGGGCCGCCCCGACGGGCCTGAGTTCCGACGAAAGTCCGCGGCGCCCAGGAGGCCCACAATGCGCAGAACCACAGCTACACCTTGGGCATCACCGAGTTCGCAGACCAGAAGCCGGAGGAGCGGGTCGTTCCACGAACTCGTTCGTTTCGTGATGCGATGTGAACATATATGTGAAAGATGGAGAGGTGTTGATGTGTTGGGAGTGGTGAAGTTCGATTTAAGAAGGCGTTTGCATACCATCATACTACCCATCAGCCAATCGTCCATACCCCCAAAGATCCCAAGGCAACTCCAATTCGCCACGTCTCCACTGAGGAGTTCCGTTTGGACCACGTGGGTTGCATGGCGCAGCCGAAGGGACGTCAGTGGGGAACGCTGCCCTACCTGGGCCGCGCGAAGGCCACCGGTGCAGCGGTGCCGGATGCGGTGGACTGGGTCTCCAAGGGCGCCGTGACCGATCCGATGCTCGCTCGGGGTCACGGGGGGATGGGAGGGTCAGGCAGGGTGGGGATGAGGTGAGGTCATGTGGAGTGGATCGATGTGGATAGATGGGGGTATTGTGGAGTGCATGGCCACACATGGGTTCTGGATGGTTCTGGGGTGTTCTGGCAGTAGGTGTGCATCTGAAAGGAGCAGAATGCTATGTATAACTAATGATGTCTTATGAGTGATTGCAGTGATATTGGTGTCAGAAATACTTAGGGTGATTCATCACAAAGCTCACCGGAAGTTTACACTTGCCTGAGCGCGTGCCTAAGGAAGAACCAGGGCAGCTGCGGCTCTTGTGACTTGCAGCAGGGCTGTGATTTTGTTCGTAGACTGAATCCCCTTGTCAGGGTTCGCTGGCATGTTCTTGATCTAGATTTGCATTGTTCATTTTGGGCTAACCCCGGCAATTATATATTACTATATATTACTGATATAAAGTTGCTGGCTGCATTATTGTTCTGGGCACGTCTGCATGTTCGAAGGCCGCAGTCTTTTGACATTCTTCGACTTAGACCCCGGGGGTTCCCCTTGAGGTGCCACGGAGTGTCCACCCCGCTCCAGGTTGGTCCTTCTCCACCACGGGCGCCCTGGAGGGCGCCTGGCAGATCGCCACCGGGACCTTGACGTCCTTGAGTGAGCAGCAGTTGGTGGACTGCGCGGACAATGGAAACAAGGGATGTCAGGCCGCCCACGTGTGGGACGCCCCTGCTCAATGTCTGGCCAAACGTGATGAAATCAATGGACTCCAACACATGCGTAAGGCCTTGCGGAAGTACAGCTTTGGAAATGGGTCGATCGGATTCAGACGACGTGACGTGACGTGTGACGAAATCGGGCGTTCCCTGGCCAGGGGGGGCTCCATGGACTTGGCTTTCTCCTACCTGGAGAAGTGACCTGGCACTGAAAACATGGAGTGCCAGGAACGATGTCCTGAGATACTCATTATATATATATATATATTATATATATATTGTATATGTTATATAAGTAGGCCCTGGAAACGCATGGAATAGTGGACAGAATGAGATTTGCTTTCTCAGCTTTGCTTCAATGGGGCATCTATACATATGCACACCTTGGGTTTGTCCTATTACCTGTAACAGTCAGTAAACGATTATCACTACTTTTGGACAAGGCCTCTACTAGCCATCATCATCCACTGTTACAGGTAATAGGATAGACCCAATGCATACCCACAAATCTCCCCGTTTTGGCCTTGCTTCAATACGCTGGGTGCTTCGGCATTTGACTAAACCATACTGTTTTTGTTTGGTTTCACGGAGTTTCACAGGCCTGTCCGCTCACCTTTCCTGAGGAAGAACGTTTGCACCGAAGACAGCTACCCCTACCAGGCTGCCCAGGGCACCTGCCAGGAGAGCTCCTGCAAGGTGGGTGTGCCGCAGGGCTCCATCACTGGCTTTCACGACGTCTCTGCCAAGGAGCAAGCGAGCGATCCAAAAGATGGATCATTACCTCACCTCACCTCACCTCACCTCGCCATCACAAGTATCAATCCTTTCCATCTGTCATCATTATTTGTAGGACAGGGGTTGGCATCCGGTTCCTTTGGCCTCCGGCAGGACTTGGATGCCTTGATGGAGGCCGTGGCGCAGCAACCGGTCTCCGTGGCCATTGAGGCAGATCAAGAGGCCTTCCAACTCTACAAGGGAGGCATCCTCGGCCAGGAGTGTGCCATGGTGAGAACCGGTGATGGGTGCGGTGAGAACCGGGTGCGAGCGAGCGATTTGGAGATGTTTTGGGCGTGTTTCCCACTCAACTCGAACAGGAATGGGAAGGATTCAGCGACCATCAATGACCGTTGATCATGTATCAAGTGGTTTTGTTGTTTGAGCTTCAGACAGCCGTGGCTGTCAGATGTCGATGACTGCTGTCGTGTCATGTCACAACTGAGGTGGTACGAAGTTGGATCATGGAGTGCTGTTGGTGGGCTATGGCACTGACAACGGTGTGGACTATTGGAAGGTGAAGAACAGCTGGGGTGCCAACTGGGGCGAAGAGGGCTACATCCGTGCCTGGGGCCGAAGTCGGGTGCCGCATGGTGTGAGTCCACCGGAGGTTGCCGAGTCCACCGGATGTTGATCCTTCAAGTGGGTGATCCAAGAACCAGCTCTTGAAACAGAGTCAAAGCTTCAAGTGGAAGGAAGAGGGGTTAAGTCTGCAATGGCAACCTCTCTCGTATGGTGGTTCTTTGTATCATCGCGCAGATGAGTTGTCAGGATGATTTCACAGGTTTGGACCGCTTGCTTGTTTGGCAAGCATTGCCACTTACGGTCACCTACGTTTTGAAAGGAGTTGATGTGTCCAGCTATGTCCAACTCAAGTGCTTCAAACCCTTCAGCGCTGACTGTTCGGTTTCAGGGTTACTTTTCCCTAACCTTCGACCCACTCGTGTCGGCTCCTGACTAATAGGCCTGCAAACGATGGACGCTTCATCCACCTGGACCTTCCTTTCGGGGTGTCCAATGGAGATCCATAAGTAGCGTGTGGGTGGGGGGTTCCATGCGTGATTGGAAGGTGCTGATATGATATGTTTAAACAAAACTCATTAAAAACAAAAACAAAACACACGTAGTTAGTTCATCTTCCCAAGTCAGTTCTTTTGTGGCAGATCCATGCATTCCAGTGGTTCCCATGCACTGACTGCAGTCGACGGGTCATGACCGACCCGACCGAGGTTTGAAGCGTGGTGTGCCGAAGGAGCGGTGGTGTGGCGTGAGAGATGGGCCGGTGTTGAGCACGAGCACTTGGATGAGTGGATTTGAATCGAAGTGGTTGGTTTTGGAAGGGATTTTTTGGGGTGGACTTCAGAGAATGGTGGGAATTGAAACTTTTTGCTTATCTGCCGAGAGTGGCAGACAAGACAAACAGACAGATGTGGCAACACTTGGGGACCCAGTCCCAAAAGCCAAATGACTTGCCCAAGAAGACCGACCAATGCTTCGCAGTGTTGCCACACAAGGATACCGACCACTTCCCCATCCACCGCTCCTCAGGATGGCGAGTGCGGCATCAAGGATCAGCCGTCCTATCCCATCGTGAAGTCTCAGGCCACCGTGGTGGTCTAGACCGCATGGTTGGCACACGCGGCTGATTGTGCGCGGCCGTGGGTTCGACCGGAAGGGTCCCTCTCGGAAGCTTGGCCGCGATCTTTGCGAAGGTGCGGTGGGGTGACGCCAGATTCCGCGATGGACTTCCAGTAGTCAGTGCACTGGCAAGCTAGGAGGCGTTGCCATACTAGTTGGGTGCATGTCATATTATATTTGATATTTGACATCATCATACAGTGAAAGGACATGAGACTATAGAGGATGAAACAGGGATTGAACCGTCAAGCCTTCAGATGTCTTGAGACACTTCCTCTCTCAACCAGCGGGTAGCTTGGTGACATCTGATGCCACTGAACCCAGAAAAGGGTTTCTTGGATTGTAGCCCCACCACTCTGCTCTTCCGTAGGTCAACACGTGGACCTGCAGAAAGGCTGCAGGATCTAGAAGCCTTTCATTTTGGGGGGTCAAAGGCAGTCAAGGGCCTTCTGAGCCAACTCCAAACCTTTCCCATTTTGGATGGGAACCCAGACCTCACCGAGGCCATCAATCTCAGAGCTGAGCTACCTTGGCTATATTTCGTGTTGGAGCTTATTTGGGGCCCAACACCTGACTTGCCTTATTTTGCCGTTGAAGCACTGACAGAGAGCGAAAAAGGAGTGAGCTCCCCAGCTTTTGATCTCCTTGCCCGCAGGTACCTCCAACACTTTGGACATCTAGGATCGGTGTTGCTTGTGCTTTCGGGGCTGCCTCCACCCTGTGAATCATCGGGCACGTTTCTTCTTGTCTGTCACATCTCCCTCTCTCTCTCTCTCATTCTGTCTGAATTTCTGTAATGTACTTTCACAGCCAAGGTTCCCCAGAACCAGTCCGCACTCCTCCCATGCGATCGTCCATGCGTTCGTACCGTCAGTAGCTCGTCCGTGCCATCAGCCGCTCCTGAGGATCGACTCGAACATTGAGGACGCCGACGAGGACACCAGCGCCAACCCGGAGCACAACATTTGCGGCGCCATGCACAACCCACCGGGCTCCAGCTGTGCCAAGCACCGCGACGGCCTGGGGGACATGGATGGACAAGCGGAGCGGATTGAGTGCGGGTTGTTCAGCTTGTGCAGACCCCCAGAGATTGGTCGCCGCGGCATGTGTTCTTCAAACAGCTTGATCAAGAAGTATCTGGAACAGGAATCGATTTACTCTGGCCATACAATCAGAGTCTTTTTGAGACTGTCCCACTATTTAGCTTTGAAGAGGTTTGGAGACAAAACATGATGATAGATGCTGGATGATGTTGGCCTCGGTCAGATGCATCCGAGGATCGGAGGCCCCTCAAGCATCCAAGAGTGCCATGACTGGTTCCAGAAGCTTTGGGATGAAGGCCGAGTATAGGAGGGTGGGCCATTCCGATGCTTCAAATGAATCCATATTGATGAATACACAAGCCTATCGAGCCATATCGAGCCTATGACATGTTCGGAACTGCTTGTAGCTGACAGAGGAGCTAGAGCAGCCAGATTCAGCCTCGGCAATCCACAAGAGTCTATAAAGGAGGCTGGGCAAGGGCCATACTGCGGACTGTTGATCAATAAAACCCCCCCTACCAAAGTTATTGATGAGGCAATCATTGAATGAGGCCGCTCCCGCAATCATTTCACCCGCCTGGCCACGCTGCCAGTGGCCACAGGTGCCGCTTGGGCCACTGAGAAGCTGCAGAAGTCTGAAGCTGATTGGCAAATCATGGCCCCTCCACAGCAGAGGATGGGGAGTTGACGCCAACTGTATAGGATCAAGATGTGGTCTCAGCGAAAGTCAAGTGGAGTGTTGTCATTTGGATTGAATTCCGTTGTGAAGGGCTGGCATGTTCGAAAAGCACCGGACTTGCACAGGGCCTTACTTTCCAAATCGCTTACTCACGATTTTGGTCCGACAGTAGAGACTGCTCATCAGACAAGCATGACAGGTGAGCAGCATGGTTCATTGTTGGTACAGGAGCGCATCGTCATATGTGAAGAAAGCTATGTTCTAATTCTCATGTTTGGGTGCCAGTAAAGAGCCTTGAACCAAGAAGATGCCGCCCCACAGATGTCAGCTCGGACTTGCAAAAGATTGGCGATGGGGCAGCCCTCGGTGCCCTGCAGGTGACGCACTTCCCTTGTGGGCACAAGACCAAGTTCTACAAGGAACTTCACTTGAAGTGCCCCGATGTCAAATGGACCTCTATCTATCCTGGATGGCATTACAGGATCAACACCTAGAAGGGCAACACACAATTGTTGCAGAGGGGGAAATTGACTTTTTGTCCTCACTATAGAGGTTCCTCGCAGATTCAAGACTGGTATCCTCTTATTGTGCAAGGGTGCAGGCCGCCATCGTTGATTCCCTTATTTCCCTTCCTTGATGTCCATGGTCCATGTCCACTCTTGTTTCTCTTGCTTGAATTTTCCCTTGACTGATGACGTGATGTCCATATCCATAATTTTGTGCGGAGTGTTGCCGCTTAGCAGAGTGTGCTGACTGGGACAAGGTCAGGCAAACCCAAAATTGTTCCCTGGTGGGGACTTTTGACATGAATGTGCAACAGCAACGGAAGTCCAGTTGCAAGTGTGCAATTCCGTTACCAGTGCAGCATGTAGGACGCGCATACTTGTTAGGGACATGCATGGTTTCCATTTACGGAGCGTATGGTTTCCATGCAGGACAGCGCAAGAATGCTTTCCCCGTTGAGTAGCCGTTGAGCCGGTGGAGTGGTGGAATTTGAGTCCGCACGTCATACCAGGTATGGCCTGGATCTCCTGGTCACCGGCCATGCACATTACCAGTTGATGTATTGGTCCCCAGCATCTTGGCATCCAGGCGGCTGGTGCTGGCAGCTGCTGTTGCAGAAAACATGTGCAGGTAAAGGTAAAGGTGTTCTTCAATCCTCGGACCGGTTTTCTCCTTCCCCATGCCTCCAAAATTTCGCCCCAACCCACTTGAATCCAATTCACCCCACCAACCCCACGCCAAGGAGTGTCAGTCTAGTCTTGAGAGTCTGATTGCTCCGTCTTAAGCACCCACCCACCTTTCGATGTTTTTCATTCAGCAACCCCCCAAGCCCCCGCAGCATGCTCCAGAATTCCCTCAGCAACCCTTCTGTTCCCTTCCCTTCTTCCGCACCCGAGGAGAAGCTTGGTGGCCTGAAGTGTTTCATCACCGGCGGCGGTGGCGGCATCACCTCGGAGAACAGCGTGGAACCAGAGAACCCGGACGACTACCAGCGGCCTGGGCCGGACGGGCCTGGGGCGCGAGGCGACGACGGATGACGGGACGGACCTCTTTTTCGCCACAGACACGGCCATGGGTGGTTGAAAAGGGGTCCATGTATGGCATATGTACGGCTTATGTTTTATCACTAATATATATATTTTTAGTTTCATGAGGTGTTGAGGTAAATGGAACTGGCGCGTGAAAACAAAGTGGCTTCGGTGAGGAAAAGAGGTGGGCGAGTCCAGCTGGACAGATCATCACCATGTTGCGCCATGCGCCATGTCAGATTAGTTCTTGGGATCGAGAATTCAATCGATTCGCATATGGCTGTGCGTCTGGTCTTTGCCTGTGGAGATGCGACCTCAGAACTCTCCTTGTGGCTTCTGCGTTTGTTTCCGGAAAAAAAGCCAAACTGAGGTATGGTTTCTTCGACCTGACCATGACCAAGAAGGACGCCGAAGCATGTGCCAGAGCATGTGCAGACTCGGGTCCTCATGACCTCTTGGCAGAACTGGACCTTATAGTATCCCGAAAAACCAGGCCATTGGAGTTGTGAGGTGCCAAGGCACAGTTGCAGCTTGTTACAGACGTCGTGGTCCATGTTGCTGTGCTGTGCGACGGGTTGGTGAAGACGGTGAGGAGATCAAAATCGAGTCGATCAACTGGAAAGGCAATGTGATTGAGACCGAGACGGTGGAGCCTTACACGGGCACTGATACCAAGATGCTTGGAGGTGTTTTGTTCTTGTTCTAGGGCGCGAGGTCGGGCCAAATTCTTGGGTATAAGCAGCGAAGTTCAATGAGTTTCATGAAAGACGGTTAGCCGCCTCCGTTCAAAGATACCATAAAACCGTACCAACACAGCATGCTACAAAGACAACATATTTAGAATCTGGTATGCCACCCTTGGGAAGGACACTTCTATATGTTTTCAGCCAGCTTCCGTGTATGCGGAGCAAAGGGTATGTCCTATTTGCGTATGGCGGTATGGCATACTTTGCCCCCTTTGAAACAGAGCTTCCAACCACAGCTGAGGGCCCACTCCAGAAACCCTAGAAGTCCAAATTACTTTTCCTCAATGAAGTAAAGGAAATTCCCTTTCAGGCCTCCTAAAGAACATTATTTTTATGGTCTTTGACGCCCATGTGTAATCTGGACATGACATGATGTCCAATGCACAACATTTTCGGCAGGGATTTGTATAACACTATTAATATAACTTGTCCTATCCAGTTTAGGTCACGATCGTTGGTGGATTTTTAAGACCAAGAGAGCCCGAAGGGTTCAACAAAGCGATCAAGCAATGAGTTCTAGCTTTCGTTGCGATATGCACGTGTAGCACATATGTAAGAAAAGACGAAAAGACAGGAGACATCAGGAAACCGCTGCTGGTGATGCAGATGCAGTCAATTACATAAGAATTTGGCACCATCAAGCAGTCTCTCTCTCTCTCTCTTTATGTATATATATAGTTATATACCTTATGTGACTATATGTGATTATATATTCACAGGTATTGATCAATCCATGCACCACTATGCAGGCATATCATAGAGTCAGCGACTCTACACTTGGAACTGGTTTCATGGGTGCTGTTTCTGGGTGAGCACATCGACGGTGACTCCGCCGTGTCACCAGGAAAGCAGACTTGGAGCCTTGCGTAATCCCCAAGCCCGGCTCAACTTGCTACAAGACCATCATGTGGGCGATGAAGGAGCAGACGGGAGCAGAATTGGCTCAAACAATTGCTCGAGCTCTTCAAGTTTCAGCAAAGATGATGTCATCACATCACATCAATTTCCAGAAAGCTATTGATTGATAAACAAGGCAGCGAATAATGAAGATTTCATGAATCTTCGCGCATCATCCTGAGAACATCAGCTTGAGTTTCATTTTGCATTCGACCTCGGTCGCTTTCCGCCGTGACATTTGTTTGCAGAACATCCTCGCCAGGATGGGATCCATTCCAATCCCGATTGGTTCCCAGGCTTGACCTCGTGGCTTGGCCCGAGGGCCTCAGGGAGGTGTTGCTGGACAGGTGTTTTGAAGAGTATAGATGAGACTCATGACACCCAGGATCGAGAAAGCCATGTCTACAAAAATAATTATATCAGTTAATTACTATATCATTTTGTATATATATATATATATTTATATTTTGAGTTATATTATGTATTTTAACCTATGTACTTGAGGGTAGTGTTTGTTTTTGACCCATATGTCCAGACCATGTTTTGTAAACCACACATTTCCGGTTCTTGACATCTATATATTAAAGCTACTGCCAGTGGTGAGCCAGAAGGAGAAAGCAGCCAAATTAGATGTGCCACGAGGCTGTTTTTCCCTTAATAGAAAAGGCATATGCATGAGGAACATCCGGGAAAGGCTTGGGACCAAGAATCCATTTGGAGTGAACTGAGCAGCAAGTGTTTGAGGAAATGAAGCTGGTGATGGTTGGATGAGGTTGTTTTTCTCATTTGATTATTTGAGGGGAGGTGGCGAATTCTTACGAAACCGATGATCTAGGGATCTAGGTATCTAACAATACAGTACACCTATATATAGGTTATTAGTTCTTCTGTTTGGGCGTGTTTGGTCGAAAGATCTTTAGGTTGTCCCCCGTGGCGAAATTCCAAGAGAAGTTCTACAAAGAGCACAAGGATGGATGTGGAAAGCCATGCGATGCATGACTGGAGCGAGAGCTCACCAATTTCAGTTTCACCGATCTTAGACATCGCATGCAGATGTGGAGCCAACATAATCACAAAAGGAAGCAAAAAGCCTTCCAGACCCTGCACGCATGTGACAAAAAGCTCCCCCACGACGAGGTAGATGTGCAATTTTTATTTTTAGATGTGTTTTGTCCATACATGCCTGCGATACAAAATCATGGTTTACACCCTGTGAGAGGACAGACACAATGAGTCCCCAGATTTGTAAGTTGCAAGGAGTTTATACCTTCATTCAGGCACTGATGAGTTCAGGAAGCCTGGTTGTTTGGAGCCTTTTTGGTGGAGCTGATAGATGGAAGGAACTGGAGCTTCTCAAGTAGTATTCGTTGCCCGGCTCTACCAAACACTTTCGTGAGCGGAATGGCCTGAACAATCGGTCGCCCCTTGGCCAGACATGTGACAGCTAGGTCTGGGTACCAGGAGCAGGTCATGACTGCTTGGGTCAAATGGTTTTCGCAAGATAGGAACAAGTCATGCATCCCTACGGACGACCTTTCTTAGACCATCCGCGCCGGCGCCCGCTCATGGGTTGCCCACACCCGCGCCTGGCTGGGAGGCCGGGGCCCTTAAAGATGGGATGCGCTCGATGAAGAGCTGGATGGGGTCAGTGAAGTTCGTGAAGAAGAGCACAGCTCATTTGAGTGTTTTCCAAATCTGGGGGTGTTTGGAGATGTGTGGGCTTGTTCACCACTTCGTATGCGGTCTTTTTTAATCCTGGCCGTCTTGCGAAGGCCTCACTCAAGCACAGAGATCTTGGCCTTGTCTTGTCCCACGGAGCTCAATATATTGATTCGACCATGCACCATGTCAGGTGATTGATGACCGAGATTAGGGTCTTTAAAGGTTTGCGGTGCATAGGGTTGTGGGTATTGGCAATGCTTATCATCTCGACTCGGTAGAAACATGGAATTTCAAAGTTGTATTTTTTTTTTGGGGGGGGTGGCACTGCTAAACAAGCCAGACAGATGGAAGCTTTGCTGAAACCCTCAAGCCTGAAGACAGATTGAAATATATAATTTGTAATAGATTGATATAGATTGTGGAATCCTTTTCGATCTCGATGTGCCATGGCATTCTAGACTTGCTTTGCCATGCGTGGGCTGCTAGCAAGAGCTGGCATCCATGTCAGTAACATCCATGTGCATCTAGGATCATTAGGGCATGATGGTTTAGTGGGAGCAGTTTGTGTGGTTTTTTCTTACACGTTTAATCTTTTGCTTTGGCACTCGCTCTGCTCATGCGGCGACTTCTGCAGCGTAACTGGCTCAACTCGGTCCAGGCCAGTTCGACCAAAGCCGAGCCCAAGAAGGTGCAAAAGCTCAAGCCAGGCACTTGAAGCAAATAGTTCTATCTCTTGAAATGTGCAAGTTTAGCAAGTGCAACAGCTGCCTTCAATTCATGGCTGAGTGGTGGTTGGTGGATTTTGTGTACAGTATATGGATGTTGTTTCACAGATCCGATGTTTATGTTTATGCGTCGATATTGATATTCCGAACCATTGTGATCTCCATTGACTCAATGAGCTATCCCGCGATGGTTTACTGTAATCCAATCCTTGAAGATGAGATGCATGTGAAGTGGAATCAGCTTTGTCCCATCATTTTGGCAAGGCTTCCACAACGGTCAAAGCGGTCGCCTCACCAGGCTGGGGGGGTTGAGAAGACATCATGCGTCCAGCGCAGCAAGTCTGTTTCATGGATGTCCTGGATTCTGCTCAGCCCGGTGCCGTGCGGCCCAAGATCACAGCTTGCACGAAAGGTGTTTGGTTTCGCTGAGATGTGGATGACCGGTGCAGTGTTTACGCTTGGCTTTTGGCTCAACATGTTTCTCTCTCATGTATATACAATATAAATATAATGTAATATACAGAATACACCTACAACGATAAAAAAAGGCACATGTTCACATTTACTAGCTGCATCCTTTCTTAATGTGGCCTGCCATGGGTGCTGCAATCTCCGCTCAAATCAACCAATATTTCAAATTGGACCTAGGGTCGACTGGACTTGGAATTGGGGCTATTGTCATTTGTCTTTTTTATGCCCTGATGTTTCATCCAGAGCAATTTGCTTTTGCGCTGTGCATGGTAGCTCTGGCAACAGCTCTTGCTTTACTGTTGTGGCACGCGTGGGACCATCCAGAATCTGTGGCACCTCTCCAGGAGTGCCTTTTGCCATCCCAGTTCGACCAAAGCAGAGCCCAAGTAGATGCAAAGCTTGACGAAGGCATTTACAGATTCTCCACGTCCAAGTGGGCCAAGTGCTTCATGTACATGCAGGACAACAAAGACGGCAACGTACGAGGATGGGACCAGGAAGATCCGGGGCCACAAGGGTGGTTCAGACTCAGGCATGTGGTGGATGCCACCGGAAAGAAAACAGCATATTGGTTCATTGAGCCGCTGGCATTCCAGAACTGGAGCGTCTACATGCAGGACAACGGTGATGGCAATGTGCGTGGATGGAATGGTGATCCTGGCCCTCAAGGACACTGGAAGATTGAGACGCACCAAATGAAGGAGAAATCATATCGTTTTTTCCACCAAGAAATGGCCAACGCACTACATGTACATGCAGGACAATTCTGACGGAAATGTGCGTGGGTGGGAGGAAGACCCAGGTGATCAGGGCTGGTGGACAGTGAGCAAGAGCTTGTTCTCCAAGACGAACCTATTTCAGCCAAAAACCAACCTGACCTACCGGATGACGACTGCCAAATGGAGAAACTGCTACATGTACATGCAGGACAACGGAGACGGCAATGTCCGTGGGTGGAACAAGGAGGACCCTGGTCCACAGGGGCACTTCAAATTTATCAGACGTGCCAAAGACCTCTGGCTGATTCACCCTGTGAAATGGCCGACATGGTATGTTTACATGCAGGACAACAAGGATGGCAACGTGCGTGGGTGGGAAGGTGACCCTGGCCCGCAAGGCCATTGGAGAATCGAAGCTCACATGTTTGAGAAGGACGTATTCCGCTTGATGCCTTCCAGCTGGCCAAATGATGTGATGTACATGCAGAACAATTCAGACGGCAATGTTAGGTCTTGGAAATCAGATGCTGGTCCCCAGGGCTGGTGGTACATAAAGCCAATATAGACCAGGCACCATGATCCGCTGGCCATGCTGTGACTGAGCAATGTCTGTAGTGCTTTTGGGTAGTATATGTATATGTATGTATATTGAGCTTGAGTTGGGAAAAGCAGCAGTCACTGTGCTGTGTCTGGCATTTTCGAGCAGGCTGAGTCCTCCACATGGGCTAGTATGAACCATGAATGTAACAATTTATATTTACCAGAGAGATTGGGAGATGTGATGAGATGTGGAAGGTATACTAATATGACATACAGTATATAGACACTATTTATATATACATAATATGTTTATATACATGCGCAATGCAGCAATATGCAGCAATAATGAAGCATGTGTATTTATAACTTAATTTAGTCAATTGGGTCTCAGTGGTTGAGAACTGAACGCGTCGGGTCCTTTGCTCCTCGCCGCTCGCCACCAGGCTGAAGATTGCTGGCCACGGGCTGTGGCCTGAGGGTTCTGGCATCCGATCGCGGAGTCCAATCACCTGACTCACCTCAGTTGAAACATGTTGACTGTTTTGGATTGGATGTGTTTTTTTTTTTTTCATGTTAGTCTTTGGACTTTGGAGGTGGCGAGGGTGAGGAATTCAGTGCATGATGGCCATTGGCCATTCTTCATTGAGCTTTCAGCTGGGGAGTTGCGATTGCCTGATGCAGATAGGTTTACGGTAGATGCTATAAGTATTTTTAAATATATAGTTGATTGTTTAAGGTTTCCTCCTTTATAAGTTTGCAATCATGACTTTCCGGCACGACTGTTGCTTGATGTTGCTTGCATCACAGCAGGCCTTGTTGTGCCTGGTATAGGGTCGTGCTGGGTGCTGGATTGGATGAGAAGTTCGGAACATGTAGAAAAATAACAAGCAGACGGCTGGCTGCCAGCAAAATTCTGTGTAGCAAATTGATTTGAGTAGACAATGCCGTTTGCCATGAAGGACTATGAATAGTGTTTCCAGAAAATTGTAGATTCAGCTCCACTTGCCGCCATGTCCTTTTCTGCTGAGCACGGGAAGACCGGAGATGAACTTGGTGAGCTGCTTGCAGGAATGTTTGACTCCAAACCCAATGCAGTACTTCAACGCAGCGTCGACGGTATGACCCTTGCAGAGATGCAACAGCATGTTCTTCGTTTGGCGTCCACTCTTCGTGTGGCGCAGGTGGGTCATGTGGCCCTTTGTTTGCATCCGGGCTTTGGACTGGTCGTTTCGCTGGTAGCGGTCCTTTGGTGTGGCCGGGCCTTTGTACCTCTTGATCCCAGTTATCCTCTAAGTCGTTTGCAGTTCATCTTGGACGATTCCGAGGCCCAAGTATTGGTGTCACAGAGAGAGATCATGGAGGTACTGCACAGTTTGGACATCATGTCCAAGATCTTCATCTTACTGATCGATTCCTCGGGTGCCCTGGTCTGTGGACACGTCTCCGGAGATACCTCTTGGAGAACCAAGCCCTCAGCATCTGCCTATATCATTTACACCAGTGGAAGTACCGGAGTTCCGAAAGGTGTGATGGTGTCGCGGCAGAACTTTGCAAATGTCCTCAGGTCCTTTAAGGACATGATGGAAGTCAAGCTGTTGAATGAAGGTCGTCAGCCAAGACCAAAGCAGATTTGGTGGATAGCTCATACCACGATTTGCTTTGACATTGCGCTTCTGGAATTGTTCTTGCCCTTGGTGATGAACATCTTCAGTGATGGTCTTAGGCACTTGGTCTTAGAACTTCTCGACCGCAGCACGACCCAAAATGGTGACTGCTTCAAGCAACACTTGGAGCGCGTTTCTGCTGACCAGACCCTCACGATTCTCCAGGGAACTCCCAGCACCTTCAACGTCCTACGGTCTGCCGGATGGACGCCAAGAGCGAATCACCTCCTCTTGTGTGGTGGGGAACCATTCCCATTGTGGTTGGCGGACTTTTCGTCCACCTCGGAGATCTACAACGTCTATGGTCCCACGGAGACGACCATTTGGTCCTTGGTGCACCACGTGAGACGAGCATACACGGCATACACGTCCGAGCTCCGAAATCTGGGGGTTCCGATTGGCCAAGCAATTCGACATACCACTGTACAAGTGGATGCTTCCGTGGGAGGAACCGATGAATCTGAAAGCACCGAGCTCTCTCCGCATGCTACAGGGAGCCGTGGAGAACTTGTGATTGGAGGTTTGGGGGTGAGTCTTGGTTATTGGAAGCGGCCGGAGCTCACAAGAACTCGATTTTTTGAAGCAGATGGAGTGCGCCACTTTCGAACTGGCGATCTGGTTCTGGAGGTCAGGGAGGATGGCACAGATACAATTGAATGCACAAAACAGCCTGGGAAGCTGTTCTGCTTGGGTAGACTGGATCAGCAAGTGAAATTGAACGGCTTTCGAATTGAATTGGGAGAGATCGAAACCTTGCTACAGAGCATGAAAGGCATTCAGCAAGCTGCTGTTCAAGTGAGATGCAATAATTCCAGCATCAAGGTTTTGGTTGCATACATTGTGTGGAAAACGGCCACACAGATCCAAACCACCCATGAGATGCTTGTTTTCCTTCGGAAGCACTTGCCAGACTACATGCTGCCACAGCGTTTCGTGAACCTTGAAAGCCTTCCGATGACTTTGAACGGTCCCTAAGCTCTGTGGAGTATAGATGTTCTAGATGTTCAATATGGTATTGTACCAGCACCCCCAGTCGGGGTGGTGGACATGGACACCCCGAATCACAGCTAAGGGGCCATAAAAAAACCACACCCCGACAGGAGGGTACTGGTATGTGATGTTCTCACATGTTCCATGTTTCAAGTGCTGCCTTCCTTTGCAGACATGGTGCTTAACTTCTGTATCTCCCCCACCGAGGCAAAATCGATCGCGGGCAGCTCCCTGATCCGTGGGAGGCAACGAAGTTATCGAGTGGAGTTGGTGAAGCGAATGAATCGAATGACGACCAGGTCAGTTCTGAGGACACACGAACCAATCATGGCAGAAGGGAACCAATCATGTGTTGGGGTGTGGGGGCATGCGGGTGCTTCGGGCATCATAGTCATGGTCCACTTCCTGTTGAACTTCCACGACCTATAGCTCCACTTGAGAGAGGATAAAGCCCCCCCACTCACCATTTCAGACCACCTCACCCGGAGTTGTTAAGCCTGTTAAGCTACCTCACTTGGGGTTGAGAAAAACCTCCACCAATTTCAGGTGTTCCCGGGTGTTATTTCCCAGGAGATCCAGGTGGAGAGGTTGCGGCACATCGTTCTAGAGGTGATTCAGGAGGTGATTGCAGGTCGAAGCCACACCTCCAGCGGTGACGTCGACGTTTCCACGGATGCCTCCATGCAGGGTATGGAAGGTGCCTGCGGTGCTTGTTCAAAAAGATGGGAGCTTCATGACACTTCATGGAGGTTCACCTAGAGTCTGCGTCAGAAGTGTCAGTGTCAGATTTCATATAGATGTCATGCCTTCAGGTTTTACACAGATTTTTGGTAACTTGTCAACCAAGGTGAGCACTGGCGACATTTGGGTTTGAACTCGACCATGGCCACCAGCTTCAGTGCTCGTTTGCAAGAGCGCCTCCAAACCACTTGGACGACTTTCTCCAGAACACCTGTTCGACCGTCCATCATGTTTGAATGTCGCACCATGTCGGAGCTGGTGTCACATCTCGTGCACCTGGGCAACCCGCACGACCCGCAGGGCGGCCAGGAGGGCTCGAGGACGGAAAACCCACTGGACAGGGAAAGCACCGCGAGGACACGGTCCGCGCCAGAGGGTTCGTCAGGAGCGCGGCTGGCCGCGCCAGTGGGTGAAGCGCAGGTGAAGTGGGTGCGCCACGTGGTGTCCTTGGGCACTCTGTGCATGACAGCACAGGCCGGCGGATTTGACAGAGACAGAAAAGGTGGATGAGAAAGTATACGGGACACCGCCAATTTGATGTCAAAATATAATGAATCTTGGGTTGGGAGAGGAGGCTAATGGGTTGCGATGTTCAAAGATACTGCGGATGTTTGCTTCTGTGGTGAAATTATTTATAGTTGCAAGGATTGTTTTGCTGCCCCAGACAACGCTACAGGCAAATGCTGTCACCAACGGCTACCGATTCCTTCCCCAAAGTTCATCGTAAGCTGCTGAAGCATCTCATCAAGTAACCGACCTGTTCAAAAGCTTCACCTGAAGCCTGAAGACCGGGTCCAACTCATCCCAAATGACATCCAATCATCATTCCGACCTTCATCCCCAAGGAGTCCCTGACCATCCTGGACCATCCTTCACGTCCTCATGGGATCCCTCCGAGGCCATGGAGCACTGGAACCTCCGACGGTGGCCGGGGCCCTTCGACTGGATCTTCTCGGGTCCGGAGATGGTGACGCATTGCTTGGCCGAGGGACGCCGTGGAGCACCCGGAGGTTCGAGATCCTTCGCCACGTTCCTGGATGCCAGCAAGTATCTCGCAAAGCCATGCAACAAGGCAAAGGGGCGGTTCTGTTTTGGGATGAGACTTTTCGTTGCCACCTTGAGCTTGCTTCTAACAACCAGGTGTGTGAAAGGTGTGCCAAAAGTGGGGGTGTTGCGCCCAACCGCTGGTGCAGGCTGGCCATGAAGTTTACTCTGCGATGCTGCAACGTGACGTGATTTTCAACCACCACAATCCGATGCTGGAGAAGGACTACGAGTTCTTCGTGGCGAATGTCAAGTCACTCCAGGCACTCATGTGGAGTCCGCACTCGCTGCCCGAGCCGAATGGGCGATCGCCGCGCTGCAGCTCGATGGTTCTTTTTCTCCTCTTCAACTTGGAGCGGCGCGTGCCCTTGCGCCACAGCGCCATTCAGGAGCTCTTCCAGGAGTTGACGTCGCAATGCTCCTGGAACTTTCAACTTCTGGTGGTCCAAGTCCACACCAAGGCGGCGGAGAGTCCTCAGAGTCGCTTGTTGGAAGATCGCTCGAGTCGCAACTGCAGCAACCTGACGCAACAACTGTTGGTCTATGAGCTTCTTTGTCAAGGTGCGCATGATGGATGGCGCTTCAGTGATGAGAAAGACATGCAAGCACTGGGTGAGATTGTGTTGAATGGTCGTGACTTCCGGTTGATGCCTGCTCCGGGCGAAAAGCTTGCGAAGTGCAACACCCTCTCTTGCCCATTCTCCAACACGTGGCTCTCAACTCACTGTTGTCACAGCTGTGCGAAAACGTCTGGATCCCGCCATGGAGACAGATGCGATGGGATCAAGCACCATGGCCATGACGACACTCAGCGGCCGGGCGAGATGAAGAGTGTGAGCACTCGGAGTGGCACGGTTTCGCGGGCAGTACGTTTCCAAGAGGCCTTGTCGAAGGCACGTGAACTGCAACGCACTGCAAAGTGCCTACAAATTCAAAGTTCAGCAGTCAGGAAGTTGCGGAGTGTGCTTCCAAAGCAGCAAACACATTTGGAGCATTCCAGCAGCCAAGATTGTTGTCACATGGAGTCAGTCACCGATGAATGGCAATTCTTGGGGTATCCACTCTACGCGGATGAAGGTTGCAGAATTTGGTCTCCAGGCGCTTCCGATTTGCGTGCAGCTTTTCAAACTTTGCTGGCACCTTGGAGGCAAGAAGGAAGAATAGGAAGATATATCCCAGACACTCCATGTATGCCATATATGCCTACATTAACCCCTCAAACCACCCCAACTGATCGGCATATATGGCAGTCCCATGGGTCGTGTCTGGGCATTGCATGTGCCAAAAACATGGTCAAGGCACCCAACGGGCAACGGGCGAGGTATCAAGTGCGATGGCTTTTGAGGAAGATTCCGTCCAAGTGACATCAAGTGACCCATGTTGACCCATCACATCCCATCATTTGTCCTGGACAGGCTCAGTTCATTTGCCTTAGGTTTATTGTCGGTTTTTTCGAGGTTTTCTTGGCTAAGATTCTTGGAGAGCAGGCTGCTGAGGGGTGTGCCACTCTTCCTTTTTGGAGTCAACATAGTTCTCCAGAAAGAAAAAGGACATGTTAATGGATTCCCTAGGGATCCAAGTACCTTCTCAGAAGGTGATTGGAGACTGTTTATGTAGGCTTGGAGGGCCCAAGTACCTTCTGAGAAGGTATGTGGATCCCTAGGGATTGTCATGTTTCAACCTTTTCCATCTCGCGCAGGACTGGCCACGATCGAAGGCGCCAGCTTTCTTATTGGTCGAAGGCGCCAGCGGCCAGGCGGCCTTGGACCAAGCGGCCAGCACGACGGCCACGGCCAGGTCGACGTCGCGCCGGGCGGGCCGCTTGCTGGGCTTCAAAGCCAACACTGAGCCTTGGCAGGTGGGAACGAAGCCAGGGTCCACCCCTCTAGTGAACTGGTGACCTGATGGTCCTCCACTCTTGTGAACTCATGTTTGTGAGGGTCCTGAAAGTTTTGTGAAAGTTCAGCAACCCGTGGTCAGGCTGGGACTTGATCACCTCAGGTTGGGATTTGATGTTTTGGAACCCAGGTGGCGGGACTCAGCTACCACCGGCTATCACAAAAGAATATTGCAATCAGTCTCACACTGAGGATTTGTTCGTGGCCAATTCTTCGCAGTGGTCGGACAAGCTGCCACGAACGACAGAGGAGTTCGTGCTCTTCGGCCACATCAACAGGGACGAGATGCAGCAAGACCCTATAGCTGATGAAACTTGACATGCGTGCCACATGTTGCCATCCTTTCCAACAGCCAAGATGCAACTTGACCCTTCGTTGGTGCTTGGAGGCTTGGAGATCCTCTTCGTCTTCCACGTCTCTGGGCTCAGCCCTGTTTGAACTTGAAGTAGCTCTGAAGGCTTCAGGTTCATCCAGCTTCCGCTGCGACTCTTGCGGTCCCACATCCGGCTGAAGGAGTCGTCATTCAACTGATGTTCCCTGGTTTTTTGAGATTTTTTGACTTGGTTTGTTTTAATCATATACCCGATCCACTCAGGAATCCTCGAATTAGCCAACTGTTTATGTTTTTTTTTGACTTTTCACGCTTATAGACTTACTTTCGGGACGCCAAGCAAATCTAAATAGCCGATGCATACAATAGGAACATCATGGAACATCACCTTCATGGTCAGCGAGCGCCCCAGGCCCCAGGCGACTTATTTTTTTCTTTTTCGCACCACCATCACTACTAGTAGGCACGAAGGTGGGATGTTGCTTGCCATGGAGGTGCTTCTCTATGTCACTTGCTTTTTTTTGGCGGGGAGCGGGCTCTCCAGCCCAGGTGCGGCCAAGCAAAGGGCTCCAGAGACCAACCCGGCACCCGGCGGCGCAGCGAGGGGTCTCCAGCAGCTGCTTGATCCACCCTGGCGAGCTTCGCAAGGAAAGATGTCCACGGGCAGTGGAACATGTCTCCATCGTGATTCGCGTGTTTTGTACAAGTATTTGCCATCAACTTTGGCATGGTTGCCCGTTAAAGCTGACCTTTCTCAAAATTGTAGCAGGCTCAAGGCAGCCACAGTATTTCATCGACATGCTAGATGATTATTGAAGGCTGCGGTCAACTGCATAACTAAACCCACAACACAAAGTTTCTTGGTGGTTTTGCGTGCTGGTTGAGAGTGCGCATGGCTGAGAACGCCAAACATTGGATGAGGCTTTGATTTGCGGGGTTTATTCTGACTGGGTAAAGTTTGTTGATGACAATAACATAGGATATCTATGGATGTCTATGGTTTTTTGGAAACTGCTCAGTTCAGGCTTGCATGCTGTTCTTTGTTAAACACCGTAACAATTACGATATCATGTTCGTAGTAGTCAAGACGACTGGTCCACCCCTCTAGTGAACTGGTGACCTGATGGTCCTCCACTTGTGAACTCATGTTTGTGTGGAGCAGTTCACACAAGACCAGTCCATGGTAACGCTTCGTGCCATTCTGCGCCGCGCTGCTTGCCGTGGCCGATATCCCGGCACTCCTTTGATCCTGGGACAACGCAACCGTGTTGGGTGTGTTTGGGGTGACGCTTCGGGGAAACCAGTGAACTAGGTGAAGCTATAGAATTCCGAGCTGTGTTGCTCAGTTGATTCTAGAAATGACTCATGTGACTAATTCTTCAGGGTTGGAGTTCCATGTGAGGAGTCAGGATCATTATATAGAGGGACCATTCTCGCCCCAAGGATGGGGAACCCAAATCTCGCCTGCGTTTGAGCCAACACTTGAGCCAAGTGACATCGACCAAACACTATAACTTATACTGACAGTGGTTTCAGAGGTTCGATGGCACAGACCCCATGTCCCTCAGATGGGTCTCCATCTAGACATGTTTTAATCACCTTTGGGGGATTGTGCCTCTTATTTAAAGCCACAGCAATTGCATGTTCCATCAACATTTTTCCTTTGCTCTGCTGGGCCCGCGTCCACCACACCTCCACCCTCCGTTCAAGGCGCTGGCACACCCACTGCCCGGAGGTGCGGCTGCGGCCCGGTACGTCGCCCGAGGGCGCACGTCATGCCTCGAGGTGGGGCCGGCGGGTGTGGGTGTGGCGGAGGGTGAGTTGAGGCATGGGGTGATGTACATAGACGCGAGGGCCATGTGTTTGTTCATTCAGAAAGGGATTTGGGTCTATCCCAGTAAACCTGCAACAGGATGGGTAAACAAATATCACTATTTTAGAGAAAGGCCTGCAACTGAACCATTATCATCCACTGCAACATAGACATAACATGAAATACCTGTACGTTTGAAGGGGTGGTGATTATGGCGTGGACCTTTTCTTGGTTCCTAATGTCAAAAGGGCGTGCACTGTCCGTTTTGAAGCAAACTTCCCGAGGAGGTGCTTTGTTTGGACACCGGTGATGTTCCACTTAGGCTCGCAGCACAACGCAGCGGCGTTGGTTTTGAAGACTTTGACGCTTGGATGACGCCGACGGGGTGGGTGACACGGCGCTACTCCACCCGGTAACGCCAGGAAGGTGTGAAGCGCGGATGGTGAAGCGCTGGTGCCTCCGAAACGTTTGGGAGACCAAATAAGCCATACCCGCGGGAGGCTCCTCCAGTTCCAGCTGACAGATCCCCCCAACTCACCTCCCAGCTGCTTCTCCTCCAGTGCCTGAAGCGCCCTGCTTCGGGCCTCCAGTGCATTGCTGCACTGAGGGGCTCCATCCGCACACGCTGCGGGGCTTGCGGGAGGCCTTTCGCTTCCAGGAGGCGACGAAGGTCCAGGCGCAGGCAGGGATCCTGCAACTTCAATGGGGCCGCAGACAGCATGACAGACCACAGACCTGGTGTCCGCAGATGGACATCTTAAGAGATCGACTGGCCCAGGGTTATCGGTATAACAACTCGGACGTGATTGGGTACTGTATATATCGGCAATATATCGGCATAACGGGAGAACTGACAAACGATGTGAGTCATTTAGCTGAGCCACCTGACCTGGTAGGTGCTGCCGCAGCTTCTTGCGCCTGAAGCTCGAGGACTGGGGAGCTGGGTGGGTCCAGATTCCAGAGAGGTGTCCATACACACACAACACATATACAATCATATTCTTCTACACACACACACACATAGTTTGTGACTTGTGTTGTTCCTTTGATTCCACTTCATCATGAGGCACGACTTTTCGCATAGCCGCACCAAAAGAGTACTGTAACAGAAGGCGCTTCGGAGAGACGCCAAGCATGCAGCATGTTGGACCAGTTTATAGCAGCCGGCAATTCCGTCAGAGTGTCCCCGGGGGGGACAGCTGTGAGATGGCCAGGCATGGGAGAGAGAGAAAGAGACAGAGAAAACAGAGAAAGAGACGGATAATATTCAAACATGGCAGCAAGCGAAGGTGTGTCTTGTGTTCTTCAGTCCGGCAGAGTGAGTGGAAACCAACCAATATGCTGAGCAAAGCATGCTTGAAATGGATTCTGGGTCCGCCTGAAGACCAACCGAAGGCCAGAGCTCTCATCAAGCGAGTTTCTGAGCTCATGTGCCCCACAGCTGACATCAGAACCTTGTGCCCCACAGCTGACCTCGAAAGAGAAAGAGATAGAATCAGATGGAAGCTGTCCTTTCCTTAGATGATTTATGTTTGACCTGTTGTGGCAACCGCCTCGGCAGGGAGCGACTTTGTGATCCATGCGAGGACAGGCCAGCTAGAGAGGATACTTGAGGTTCAGCTTTCCTAAGCTTTGGTGATTGTTTTGAGGGAAGGAAATCCCCACTTTTGACAGGAGTTGAGATAGGCTAGGCAAGGAAGTGGCTCAGGAGTACGTGGTTTTCTTTGAAGTGGCTGCGCCTCGAGATATGTTCATATGATACCCCTTCGAGTGCTTTTATCTCCAAGAGGCAGCGACATGTAGGCCCACCTAAGGCCAAGTTACATCGCACGCGCGTCTCTCTAGCGGTCCGCTCTTTTTGTGGCTGCATCTGCCCATCCGCCTCGACCTCGTAGGCACTGGCAAGACGCTCAGCTATTTGATCCCTGCCATCGAGCAGGTGGTCAAGAATCCTCCACCCGGGATTGGGGTCTTAATTGTGGCTCCATCTCGCCACTCAGAGTCATGGGAAAGTGATGGGCGGGGGGAATTGACAGGAGCCCTCAGGAGCCCCCCCGGACGCCCAAAGCGATTCTGATTTCCACTTGTATAGTGAGTTAGTTCAACGGAGGAGGTGTGCAAAATGTGGAGGGTAGGTCTAAACTGTGTACATCTTGAACCTGCCATGTCAACTTGCCACAGATGCCTTGACCTTTTTTCCCCGCACAAAAAGCGAGTTTTCCCCAGTGGTTTTCCATTGGTTTTCATACATGTTGGTCTGATTCTGCTGGGTGTGGCTTGCAGTGGTGACGTTATTGGTGAAAAGCAGTCCACCGACCAGCTCACTTGGGCAGTCTGCTCAGGAGAGCTGGTCCTCCAGATCACCAAAGATGCGGAGACACTTTGCTCCTACCACGCTCTTCAGATTGTGCCACTCATCGGGGGCATCCGCAGAGACAAGGCATCCGCATCGACGTCTCCCTGGGTGTTGGTCGATGGACAGAAGAATTCGGCAAGATTTGCCATGTGTTTACTGATTTTTTGGCAGCGCTTCTAAGTTAAGTACATTGTAGTAGTACAATATAGTACAATTAATCTATAACCTGAACATTGCCAACATAGCAGGCCTTGAAATGCCTTGGATGTAGACAGTTCTTTTTGCTGTCAGTGGGCCGGGCCCCATGTTAGTTGCAGGAGGTGAGGGTCACCATGCCTAAACCGGAAAACCATTTTATGCAGTGGAATGCAAGCCGTTGCAGTGTTCAAGTCAAAGGCTGTCGCGCATGCAATTACCGCGTTTACTGCGCTTACTGCGCCTGGCAGTGCAGGACGAGACAGCCATCCGACGCCGGCGGCCAGCTGTGCTGGTGGGGACCTTGGCCAAGCTGATCGAGCACTTCGAAGCCACGAAGCGTCACCGGGCCGCTGTTTTTGACGTGCGGAGCATGATAACAACAAGCTGCAACTGTTGGATCGGTGAGTCTTTTTACATCTTTTTACTGATTATCATTCTTCAATCATCCATTGTGATGTCAGGATTGGACTCATGTTCGGTGGGTTTGTTCACTTGGAGAAGGGCAGTGAAGATGGGGGACGTGTCATTCCCAGGTGCTTCCTTCCTATCCTGTGATTCCACCTCAGAACCCCTCCGACCTGCACGGAGGGGGTTGGTTGGTTGGTTTCACATCGATCGCCTCCGCCACCGCCCGGCGGCGACGAGTCGCGACCCGAGGTTTCGAGACTCTGTTTGATGCCCTGGGGATCTTGGTGCTGGATGAGTGTGATCGCTTACTTGCAGAAGAGTCAGCAGATGCTGGTCTCACCGAGCGGACTGGGGGTGCAGATGGCCGACATGCGGTACATGTTTTGGGGCTGCTTGCACTCCTTTGGACCATTTGAAGCATTCCCCGGTCACTGATGCTGCTGGCTTTCTCTAATTTCATTGTACTGTAATGATTTTCCTGGAGGTCATTGAACGTGTTGTCCAATAATCGTGAATGGTGTTGTTGTTCTAGTGGACTTGCTGACTTGATGCAACTGGTGCTGTTTTCCACATTTTTCCATGTTTTCCGACTATCTCGTACTTCTTTCTGGCCCAGACTCAGCCCTGCCGACCTCCGAGGAATCGCTTCAAACCTTCCTCCGATTCTTGCCGGACCGCCCGGCCGGTCCCGCCCAGCGGCAGACGCTGCTGTTGAGCGCCACCGTGCCAGAGGAGGCGAGGGTGCCCCACAGGAGTGGGGCAGGGAGCAGGCAGAGAGAAGAGGACCGAAAGGCCCTGTTTGGGATGCGTTTTGGAAATAGGGTCCAGAGTTCCTTTAGTTTGGACGTTTTTGAGTGGTCTTTCATGGATTTTCATGCATAGAAGTCGACATCATGTCTCACATCGATGACCGATCTGATCCATGCTAGGGTGCGTTTTTTTGTGTTTAACCATGTTTTTGGCGAGGGAAGCACTTGTAATCAGCAAACTCCAACACTTCACCACCAACCTTTGACGATTGCACCAAAAATCAGGCACCTGATGGAGGGTCCTAGTGGTAGAGAATGAGGGTGATTTTGGACCCTAGCATCCCTCGCCTGGGCATCATGAAAAAGAAACACACGTTCTGACATCATCCAATCCATGGAACTGGCGTGAGTTCGCCACCTGTTTTTCATTCAGATGTCAACTGGTCATCCACCCAAAAAATCAAGTCGTGGGCCATACAGCGAACTCCAGTTGGAACAACTACCAACCTTGGCATAAATGGCATTTGGGTGGCTCTAGAGCCAACCACCTCGGCCCAACCTGCACAGCACACCGCGAGGTGCGGGACCTTTGCTCCGCCTTATGCCGACCCAACTGCCAATGGTTGGACCTGGTGCAAGGCCTTCCAACTCAAGAGGCGCCGGCCTCGGTCCCGGAGGGTATTTTTGGAGGGGGCGACGATGGGCGACGTGTATTTGTTTTAAATACAGCAGGGAGGGCATGGACATGGCCAAATGGTTTCGTTCTGGGGACGGTGTTTTTGGTTTGTCTGGTGGGCGGACGAGTCCGCCGCGTGTTTTCCTGATTCTGGAAGGACTCGGAGTCGCGTTTGCGGACTCGGAAGCCACGACGAGCGGCCGAGTTTACTAAGAGACACCCATCTTCAACACGTTAAGAATCCACATCTTCCCGCCTTCCGCATCACAAACGCTTGATTTCGGTGCTGCCCAAAAAAAAGATTAGACGGAATGTCCATCGCTTCGGCGTCACGCCGCGTTGTTGAGGCGGTGCTGCAAGAAGTGGCCTTTGCCCCTCCCTTGTTAATGTGCACTGCCTTGAGGCGAGTGGAAGCCGTCTCGTCTCGCAAAACCCCCCTCCCAATCGGGTCAGCGGCTTGGGCAGGAAAAGGAGGAAAGGTTCTCTTAGGCCGGGTGAGTTTGGAAGAGCTTTTGTGGCCACTCAGTGACCCTGAAAGTCTAGGATTCCGTGCGAGGCAGCGGCTCGGGTCGACTCACATGGCTCAGTCCGAATCGATAGTGGTCGAGATGGATCGAGAGCCTGAAGGCCTGGAGGCTATAATTGTTCCCTTAAAAGGGGCCGTATGGATGGCCCCCCTACTCTTGAGCCAGAGCCAGAGCCAAATGAATCCGAAATGATCCGAATTGAACAGCAGTTTCATGAACAGTTGAAAGTATATAAATGACCACGGTCCATTTAAGAAAGCAGCATTGGAGGCTTTTCGCTTCAACATGTGTCCTAGATAGGCTAGGGCTCCATAGGGCTCCAAACAATTCTTTTTGAAGCTATACTGATGGGTTTTCAAGAGACTCGTGCGAAACTCCTCCAATCTCCGTTCGCCTCGCACCACCCTGGCCGCCAGGAATGCATTGGAACTGGAGATTCGACAGAGGCCGATCTCGCACAAGGCCGGAAGGTGGTCGGTGGTCGGACGGTCTAGCCCCCCCGGCTCCAACGGAAGTGGAAAACCACCCTCTTTGAATCCTTTTGCAGAGGACAATTGCCCTGCAAAAGGGACCAGAACAACCACTTCCATGATTAATTCCGGGAATGTAATGATTCTTTTGATATATACTTACCAGCTGATGTCTCTTCATCCAGCCAAGCGAGCTAAGGACCCCTAAGGCCCCACCGACGGCAGGTCATGGTCTTCTTCCCGGCAGCGCGGGTAGCGGCTTTCGCTGCGGCCTTGTTCGAGGAGCAGCTGAACATGAGGACGGCGACGACATGCCGCGGTGGACAGACTCAGTGGACCAAGGGTGGACTTGGTGAGGCTGCCTGGGATCCGGAGTGGGTCGAAATTAGGTCAGGATGGAGTGGGTTGCACGTTCAACTAGCTCCACAATTCTCAGTACATGCTGAGCATGATTTGAATCAATGCCCCTCCTGTTCTTGGGCACGTTCTCCAAAATCCTTTGGACGCCTTGCCGCCCTGGCAGGATCTATCAAATCCATTCTCGCTGCACTCCTAGTGCTCGGATGCTAGCTCAAGAGGCGGGCGGGTCAACTGCTCAGTGACCATGGCCTGTTGGGTTTGGGTTGGCATAGAACGAAGCAGATGACTTGTGACGCTGGGCAGTTCTAGACAGACCCACCATTCATTGGAACATCTTGTCTTGCATAATTACCTTCTTATCCTGCCTTATCCGAGGGTCCTGTCCAACCAAACCATATGGGCCTAGGCTTTCCCAGCTTCCCCCCCGGCTGGACCGGCTGAGCAGAGGAGTTTTGCAAGACCTCGGCTGGAGTGCTGTTCACCTCGCAGTCGTCGGAGCGAGGCATGGACTACCCCGATGTGCCCTGGCCGTGTCATTTTTGCAGAAGCGGGGCCCGTGTGCTCTGGAAGTTCATTGACCAAGTTCCTGTCCATCACCCAACAGGAACAGTCGTGCTCAGCTGGGTGCCTGTCGAGGTGACCTTGGTCTTGCAGGTGATGGCACCAATGAGCCGGCAACAGTACCTCGGCTGGCCTGATGCCTGATGCCACGTGCACTGCTGTTGAGTGTTGACATGTTTGACTTTTTGGGCTTTTTGCTGATGGCACGAACTCCTGGGCAGGTTAAGTAGTTATACTTCAGATGATACAGATCAAGACACCTGGTAGAATCTTAGAAGGACCCCGGGTTAGGAGTGGATCATGGCCTCGAACCTGGATGAAGTGCTTCCGAACCGTGAGGTACATCCATCGGGTGGGCCGAACCGCCCGTGCGGGCAAAGAGGGAGAGGCCTTACTGCTGTTGCTGGACCACGAAGAGCCGTTACCCGGCTGGAAGACGTCGATGACCAGAGCGGTTTCCAAGAGTTCCCCAAAGAAAGTGCCTAGAGTTCCTACAGGTCTTGCGCTGGGTGGGGTGGATCTCATGTCTTCGTCTTGTCAGGGGTGCACACACTGTGCACCCCTTGTCAAAAGTGCTTCGATGCCATACCCAGGGGACGGGTTTGGGATGTGCAGTTTGTGTTTGGCCCTTTACAGCCGTGAACTCCACTTGCATCGCCACATGCATTGCCCAGAAACATCCAGAAGTGGCTCAACAATATCAGAGAGATCCCAAGTCATGGTGGTGCATGAACCTGTGGATCTACGTTGGACTTGTGGGTTGCTCCCACCCATCTTGCACTCTGCGGCAGCTCCGATCAAGGTTCATGTCGGAGATCCAGGACCTTCCCATCACCAGGCCATTTTTGCATGAAGTTCGCTAAAACTCGCCGTGTATAGCGGCTGTATAGCAGCTGTTTGAGCTCGCTGATGGACACTCCTCCTGCAGGGGTCGTACGTCGTGGGGAATGGCCGTCCTACTCCCCTGCAGAGGACCACACACACGGAACCCAAAAAACACTCCATTGGTCTTCGGAAAATGGTCGATCTTCCGTGGGTTCATTCTTAGGGGTCCATGGTATCGTCTTCACCACTCCTCATCTTCACCCGGTCCTCCATATCCACCAACATGTTAGTCTGCCGGGGGGAGTGCTTGAAATCGCCCAATTGGAGCTGTGCGATCTGCGCCTCGGCGCAGGTCGCGCGCCGCCGCGCAGCTGCTGAATGACGAGGGCTCGCGTTTGGCGGCGCACGTGTCATCGGCCCGGTGGGTGGAAAGCCCAGCAGATCAGAAGATGCCACGAGTGACATCATAAAATAAGAATTAAATGATGGAAACAAGTAAGTATAAAAGTACGTGAATACATATTTCTTCTTCAGATCATGACATAGTTCAATTACTGTTGATTGGCATATGCTGCTAGGATACTTTTGGAATCTCCTTGACATCCTGATTCACTGATCTATATCAATAAAGTCCATTGTGTTGATTGCAGCCTCGCAGTCGGCCACCTCCGCAAACCACCAGAATCACGGATCCCAGGCCAAAGAGAGCAGCCTCACAACGTTGGCTGGGGCGGCCTTTGCCTCCTTATTGCAACACTTGCAGCTCGATATCAGAACCCACTCGAGCATGCTTGAAGTGGAGCGTTCAGGGCTTCAACCAACGGCTAAACAGATGTTTGGAACGCAGTGGGGCGCCTAGCCAAAGCTTTTGAGTCTGAATTCTGCAAGATGCCTTGGAAGTGAGGCAAGAAAGGCATAGAATCATAGACAGGCAAGACTTTGAGGCTGATAACCGCGGATTGTTATGCTATTTCTCTTGCTCTCTGGAAAGGGACCATGCATGGCTGTTCGAGCAACTGAGCCCCAGGCAGTCTCAGCCCTTTGTGGAGCTTGAAGGACAAGAAGTGGTCGGAGGCTCAGCTTGGCGTCTAGATGTGTGGTGGCTCGGGCACCCCGGCCCCACCGTAGATGTGGGAAGTTACATGAGGTTACAAGTGTTGCTTGGGCCCATGCCATCCAAACCTTGTCACAGACATGACAAGAACTTGGGAGTGGGTGACCCCACGGATGTCAATGTGGTCGAAGCATGTTTGTTAGAAGCCGCTAGAACACCAGCACCCCTGGTAGAGGAACATCATGGATGCCGACAGGCCAGACACGTTGACCAACCAATTCTCCCAGTCGTTGATATAAAAGAACATCGTTTAAATATTGTATAGTTATTGTAGGCCATTGTGTTTTCTCCTTCTGCCCTGTAACAGCAACAAGCAGATATGGACCCGTGCTTCCTCCTTTCCCACCTGCAACTTGCGCAGGGTCGGGGCGGTCGTTTTCTGAAAAAGAAGGAGATTGGATACCACTGTGTTACACCAACTGGCAACCCAAATCAACCTGATCAGGTCTCCAAAATCTGGGTCAAGGCCTGGAGCCCCCGTGCCGACCCCTCTTCCCACTCGTCGCTTAGGTGGACCGCGCCTCAGAGCTCCTCATGGGCTTCGGCTGCGCGGCGCCTCCCGCCGTCTCCAGGGCGCCACTCGGATTGAACCGGCAGCGGTTGCCTACTTTGCATCCTGGAGCATTTAAACAATATATACAAGAAGGTGTTTTTTCTCTGCCAGAGGGTGCCACTTAAGCTGCTTTTGCTGGCCTTATCTGGGTGCTTGAGGTTTGCCAAAGAGCTTGGCCTGGAGAATTGCCACTTGGAGAAAATTCCAGGTGAAGAAGTATTGGCTCATGTCATGGAGAGGGCGATGGAGATAGAAAGTATTGGCATACAGTGGCGTGGTAGATACCGACAGCCAACTTTTAACTGCTGATTTGAAATGCTCTCGTTCTCCGTAAAGATGCTCGAAGAGCAAACCAAATCAAGATACCATATCTCTGTGATGGTGTTAGACTGAGTTTTCTCGTACCTACTCGGGCCAGCGCAGTGCTCCCGTTTTGCCAGTCAGCAGACACAGGAGCTTCCACATAGTCGGCTGGTGAATGGTTGGCTTGGCAGCTGAGTTCTACCTGACCTCTCTCTCTCTCTCGTTGGAACGGTCTCGTCCAGCCACCCAGGCGAAAACCTCATCTTGGTGGAGCAGAGAGACGACAAAGCGCGGCTCATTCGCCCTGCCGAGACCAAAAGAAGGGCAGGCTGCAGGTCCTTACAGTGAGGGTCAGGGTGGGAGTTTTAGGGCAACGAGGAGTTTGATGAGAGCTAGCTAAGGTCACTGCCTGTGAATTAACCCAGGTAAATTGAAATTCAATCCTACCAAGCCCTGGTGTATGTCAGACATCGACATTTACTGATACTGTCCTTGGCACGTCGCCAGAACCTCATCCTTCAAGCCTCGGGGGGCCCGTATAGCGATACAGGAGACTCAGGAGACCTCTCTTCAGTCATTGAGACCCGAGCCAGGAGGCCCGTCCCGAGCTTGGCAGTCTAGACAGCCAAGCTCAGGTTTGCTCCCTCCACCATGCTCTTATCACCTCCAGAGGTATGCCCAGAATCTCCACCCCTACCCCGGCCCACGCTGTGATTCACCTAGGTGATGTTCGCCACCGGGAGGAAGCCAAGCAGCCAGGAGAGTCGGAGATATCAAAGCCCCATAAACAGAAAAAAGATCCAAGATGATTCTGTGGCCTCACCTCCAACTCAACTCAGCCACCAAGCAAATCCACACAGTTGCAAGAGAATGTGTTCCATTGGGACGGTCTAGGCTAATTAAGATCCAATCAGATCTAATCTATAGGATTATATATATAATTCTACAGGTGTAAGTAGAGATGTATAGAGTATTTACGTTTAAGAAGGGCCCAATTTAGATGTTCTATGATGTTCTTCCCTTTTGAAAGCCCTCTCTTCAATGAAGAGGGACCCTCCGGAAGGCATGCCTCAGCAGGACCTTGGTTTGGAGGAGGTCGGCGTCAAGACTGATCCGAAGAGCGGCAAGGCGGACGGTGTGCGGCGCGTGGTTCGACGTATAAGCTGTGCGTCGTTGGTTGCGGTCTAGCAAGGCGTTTTTTGTTTTCATATCTTTTCATGGGTTGTTCGACGGATGACAGTACCTAAGGATTTCAGGGGCGTCCTTTCTGGAGCCCTACGACAAGTAGTGTGGAGTTGTTTGGTGAACCCCTTGCTAAGCAGCTGGTCGGTTCGATTCACATTCACATTTACGTTCTCTATATGGGCCTCCATCTAAAGGACATCTTAGGGTCTGTGCCATATACTCTGAAACCACTGTAAGATCTCAGAGCTTGTGGGGTGTTATGTTTTGGATGCCCGACTTGGCATGAGCTTCGTGTTACAAGATGCCTCACGGTGCTGAAAAGCTGCTCTTGATGCCTCATTTACTGAAACAAGATCGAGCAAGCCACGACTAAGATCCAGAGAGAGGGAGAGAGCATACTGACGATGTGAAGAAATAGGGTCCATGTGTCTTGTACGCTTCGCAAGCAGCTGTAACTGCTTGGTGGATGAGGCTCGAGCCATTTGGACACTTTCTGGAAAGGCACATGAGACAGCGGCAGAATCTACGTGATGCGAGTTTTTGATTTCGCTTACAATCTCTTATGTATATATATATACACGTATCATTGAATGCCATCGCTCCATCGTTCTGCCAAACGGTTCACCCAGGTTCGAATTCGGACATCAACCTGGCTAAATTCCACCACACATCGAAGTCAGCAAACTGACGTACAAAAACTGCTGCAAGGACCGATATAAATGATATACAGATATGATTTGACGCACAAATATGCACAAACATAGGTATTCAGATTCTGACTCCCTTTGCTTACCACAAAAGGCCGCAGAAATTCATGGGCGGATCTGTATCTCGTTCGGCGAGTTGTGCGGCGAGTTCTGCGGCGGTGGCAGAGCTGCAAACTGGAGACTTGGCTGAAGATGGTGTCCGTGGCACGCATGGAGCTTATTCATTACCCCCCTGAAGACGAACATGGACGGGCTTGTGGAGGAACACAATCTTACTGCCAGGGCCCATAGTCAGGGTCCATGGTAGGTAGTTTTTGGGAGGTAATCAGGAAGCACCTCTTACTGTAAAGGTTTCAGGTTTGTGCTTAGGTTTGCTATGACGTGCTTAGAGTTTTTAAGGATTGACCCCTTGTGTTGTGCGGTTATGTGTCCTACTGAACCATCTCAATGCCCCGGCCGCCCGGCCCCCAAAGTGATAAAGCCATCACACTTTATGGATTGCAACAGCTCAGCTTGCCCATTGAATGGTCCCAGGGATTTCCTATCGAAGCAGAGTGACAGATCCAGTTCACCTTTGGGTTGACCGTGCCGCAGCGCCACTTCCCTGGTTTACCTGGTTTACCTGGAGGAGAACCCAAGGGACCTTTCAGGAACGCATTTTTCTCGATCCTTTTTTGTTTTGGTATGTTTTGGCTACAGATTTCATCCTTTGGGTTTGGTTGACCGCATTTGACCGCACAGGTGATGTGGTGCTTTGCCGCTACCGGCTTTGCTATGCGCCCTTCACCATCTTCGTGCGGGGCATGCTTTGTTGGCCTGTGAACCACATAGGCTCCCAACGAATCCCAAGCGATGCCAAGCGGCCAAGCGGTGCATTTTCAGAGGGAGATCCCCTGGCCCCATTTTCAAGCGTTTGGAGACCCCCTGGCCCAATGAGTTTTGCTGTGTTCCTTCTTCCTTGGGGGTGTGTAGAACCAATTTAGTGACTTTAATGCACGCCATTGCGCACCCATAATCACCCATATGTCTATGGTTCTCTTGAGACTGTGTGACCATTAGGAAAGCTCATTCAAGGTGCGTTAAGGTTGCTCGGTTCATTGCTCATCCTGCGGCTTTTCTGGCATTTTTTTCACATATGTTGTTTTCCATGTTCCGTGGCTCTGAGACGCCTGATTCCATTTCGTTCCGGCAACGTTTGTTTCCTGGCCATGGGAGTGGGTGTTTGGACCAGGGGACGAGTTATGAAGACAAGAACTCAAGCTCAAGAGGAACATGATTCATGATGGAACATGTCATCCTGGATTAGCGTCGTTGACATCCAGTCCGGACTCAGCCCGACCCTTTTTCGGTGACATCCCCATAGCTTTGCCGTTCTTGGTTGCCCGTTGGGCCATCCGATCCCCGCGATGCCGGCGGATTGGTGCAGGTTTGGCAATCCGGGCCTCAGACTTTGAGGAGGGCTCCCAGTTGCGACACGCCCATCCTGAGATGCAACATGGGAAGCTTGGCCAGTTCTCGGTCCGCCTGGGGTCCACGTTCTCCCAGACAAGGATGAAAGCTTTTGACGAAAGGAAACACCATGAAAAAACAGGTTTTTGGTCCTTGGCACTTGGAGATAGCCTTCCAAAGGTCTCATATGAGAGGATCTTCAAGTGAGTGTTGCTTTTCATTGATCCCTCCAGGGTTTTTCCTCCTAAACAGCAGCTTTTCTTTTCTTCATCAGGCTTCTTGGCTGGTTTCTCCCATGTGTTTCTTTGTCTCGCTTCTCCTGTCTCTACTTCGCCTTGGGCCTCCTGTCGAAACAACAGAGGAAGACCTACATGTTCCACGCGCTGGTGAGCGGCATGAAAGTCTGGGACTTGGAGCGTGACTTGATTTATTTGATTTATTTGAGCCCGGACAAGTGAGGGGCTGCGCATAGCGGCCCAGTCTAGAGTCTAGCTGGATGGGTTTTTGTGTTGTCAAACTCCTTCAGCAAGCGAGAAGGGTTTGGCGACGTTTCCTCTTCCAAATCAGGACTTATATTGCGTGCATGGACTCCTCTTTTGGCCAAGCTTTGCCTTGGATGCACGGGGTGACAGCATTTGGTTCACAAA